AGTTGCTTCATGAATAAATTTGTTAAATTCGCAATATCTGAAGGTTTGGGGCTTATATCTAACCGAGAAGCAGGATTTCAGCAAGAGTAAATCTTGACCTAAGCATTAGCTATAATTTTTAGCATATATCAGATTACCGGGATAGTGAGCAAAGTGGTCCGTAAAATAGAGATGTCGCGGACCATTCGGGTCCGTAAAACAGATTTGTCGCCGACCATGGTCGGTTGGTCCGGTCCGGTCCGTTTTTTAGGGACGACCTGGGATATAGTATACCGTAGGTCGGGTTATATTCGCGGCTGCTAATATTCGCGATTATTTCCCGCGGCTAGCAATTGCCATAGCAACTGGATGCTATTTTAATTGAAAACGGCGCGTTATTGAAGCACAGGACCAGGCTGCAGTGTTCTTGAGTTGTTATTCTTCTTGCTGTTACTAATCCTTGGACTCTTTGAAGCTGCTTTGGCCAGTTCTTTTCAGAAATACTCTACTCACTCTGTCTCGCCGTGTCTTGGGACTCTCCACCCATTCTAGTTAGTGTTTTATTAACTTGGGTGTGGTTTATAATCATGACCGACCGACCAGCAGTGATTTTGTAGCGAAGAACTCGAAGGTAGCGGTCCATCTATACAAGAAGATAACAGATACAGAACTGGAGTCTGGATGGCTCTACTCAAACTGCTCAAGAGTAGCTAATTAGCTGCTGAACACTGTAAACACGTGGTCAATTGTCATAGCAACAATCAATTTGTTTCCATGGTATTTAATTGAACTTTTTTATTAGTTTTTATCACCGCGAATATTAGCAGCCGCGAATATAACCCGACCTACGGTATATAGTATCTATGGTTAAACGAACAAACTGATGCATTAACTTTAATATTTAAACCACACCTTGTTTGTGGAGAGAACTAGAAAGAGCTCGAGAAAGAGTGAGAAAAATGGATCATAGCACTCAGCAGGATAGCGTTGAAGAACAGGTGAAGAAAAAGCCTTTGAAAGAAGAAGTTCATGAAAAGGGTATGTTTGATTAAATTGATCTTGTAAGGCAAGAAGCCAAGAGTTTAGCAGTGGTGTATATGAACCTTTATTTATGGGGCCAGCAATTAATATTAAGGCAGTGGCTATTTTTACGGGCCCGTAATCCGACCGTGGGTGGCTATTTTTACGGCAGATGATTTATCTATGGATTTACTCATTTTAAAACCTGGGAAACACTCTAAAATAAAAAAACTAAACCCTAAACCAACCTTGGGGACTCCTAACATAACTAGGGGGCTCATAAAATGACTGGGGACGCTCTAAAAAAAAAAACCGCCACCCTAACCCCTAAACCCTAAAAACAATAGCTAAGCCCTAAAAACAATAGCTAAGTAGGGGACTCCTAACATAACTAGGGCTCCTAACATAATTAGGGAACATAGCGACGTAGAAAGATAAAAAAAATCAATTTGTTAAAGTCAAAATTATAAAAAAAAAAAGAAATGGTCTGAGCTAGATTCGAACCCGTGCCCTTCCGTGTATCCAACCCAGCGCCTTCTCCACTGTGCCACCACGATCCTACTGCCTTATTGAGGCTGATTGTCATCTTTATACGTCACTTTATTTCTATATTCCCTGCCGTAAAAATAGCTGTATACAATGAGATTACGGGACCGTAAAAATAGCCACTACGTAATATTAATTATTATTAACAAGAGTAGATAATAATTAGAGGAGAGTGTCCTACCGGCTATATGGTCTGCTGTATCACCGCGTAGAAATGGAAAGTCACATTCCAGTTACTTCTGTATTTTATTTGAGTAGTTATCGTTTGTTATTTTTTGATAACTACTCAAATAAAATATGAAAATAACCGGAATGTGTCTATGCGGTGATGAAGCAGGGGGGCATAGTGCACTTTAGAACAGTCTCCTCTAATTATGGTATTAATTATACAAAAATAAAGTGTTATTGTCAAGTTGTAAACTAGTTTCAATTAACTGATATTATCAAAGTGTGAAAGGAGGTGTGGTCAATCTGACAATTAAACATTTTCAAATGCATAGCCTTCCTGGCTCTTGTCACAATTTTCATCATTTCTGTTATAAGTTTGAATACTACCCACGGGGAACAAAAATTTTGTCGATTATTGAAAAAATTTTTTCGACCAATAAAAATTTGGAACTATACAATATTTATAATAATTATTATTTATTTTCTATACATGCAGTCCCTGCTCCAGTCCCACTTCCTGAATTATTTCCAGAACTGGATGAAAAAGAGTATGAGACAAAGCTATCTAAAGTTAATGTTGAAGACATCGTTAAAGGTATTCGTATTCTGCTGATGACTGCCACTGATGTAGAGCTAAGAGGAGTGCTGGGCTACTTGAAGCCGTTAGATGGTCGGGATAAAGTTATCAAAAAATTCATTAACACCGTTTATATCTACATTGGAAAATATGGGAAGTATAGAGTTGTGGTTGGAAAGAGTGCAGATAGTAAAGGTCAACAAGGTGGTTTAAATGCTTTTATAATCACAAATAAGATAATGGAGATACCAGAATTTAAGCCAAGATATATAATTGCAGTTGGAATCTGCTTTGGAATGGATCGAAGCAAAGTGCAACTTGGCGACGTCATTGTTTCTAACATGATTGTGGATTTAAATAACTTTAAGATGGTAAACGGGAGTTTTGACATTCGTGGACCTCAACCTGGAGCAGGAAATATTCTTTTACGCTCCTTTAAGAACACTTCTAAATTTGAAAAAAAGCATTCTGATAAAGAAAATGCCAAAGAGGTCAAAGTTCATTGCAGTCCCATTGTTTCTACTTCTGCTTTGGTCAATGATGAAGATTTTAAAGAAGATTTAAGAAAAGTACGTTCTGATGCTCTTGGTGGGGAAATGGAAGGAACTGGAATATTTCGTGCTGCTAGTGAAGCTGATCATAAAGTAGAAGCTATTGTTATTAAAGCTGTTGGTGATTGGGGTGATGGGAAGAAAGATGAATACCGAGGTTGGAAGGATTTTGCATCTCATACAGCTGCTACGTATGTTCATCATATATTGAATGATGATCTAAAGTAGTGGTGTGCTATTATTATTATTAAATATTTAATTAATTTTTGCATTTTTGATGATGATTGTGCAAATGATCTGTAGTATGAACTAGAGTGAATTTTTTTATCATTGTGAAAATTAATTAGTTTTTGCATTTAAAAAATTTAGTCTGTTAGATGCCATCATAATAGTTAGATATTAACTAGAGCGAATTAATTTGCTCTCTAATGCTCCGCCTACTCATTAAATAGATGCAGCCATTATAAATACATTATATTATCAGTGTTTGTAGTAACCAGGATAGGAAACTGGGATTCCCCTGGTGGGCAATGTCCGTGACTGGGATTAGGCGTATTATAGAATAACTTGACCATGTGTCATTGTGGCTTACTTTTCATATGAAATAATTAATGAATTTTTGGTTTTTAAGCAGTACTGTCAGTGTCAGTAGTCAAATGCAATGCATGAACTGAAATGATAACCCACCAATTTTATGCACGCAATATCAACCTATCTTCACCCAAAAAGAGACCTTGGTTCTGCTTGTAAAAGCTGCAGGTACAACAGTGGACTGTTTGCAATGATAGTATTTTAGATATTACTCCTCTGACATAGCAAATCAGTAAATGAAACTATGACAGTTCCATGCACAATGATTGTGACAACATTTTCAATGATCTTGTTAGTCCATTTTTGCCCTGTCAGTCAGTATGGGATATAGGTACTGGTCAAACTAAGACTAAAAAGAGTGAGTGTGTATGTTAGTACTGGCCAAACATCTCAATACATTTACTGATGCATATATAGATACATGTACTTATGTTGTGAGTTCATTTCAATAAAATTTGAATTTTTTTACAAATATTTAAAGTTACTCAAAAATTGGGCCAAAATCCCTGTAGCAACTATATATAGTACAGCGTAGGGGGGAACCGAGCCCTTAAATAAACATTATTAAAAGATAAACACAGATTGTTCTGATCAATCTTGAATTTTTTTCTGAATTTTATGTTTAACATAGGAACTACTGCAGTATCACTTGATGTACCTGGTAATCAACCAATAGCTGGTACATGTAT